GATAGACGTCCATCCACTAGTATGCCCTAACAAAAAAATAAAACAATAAAAATATCGGAAATTTTAATTGTTATGATATAATCGTGTGTATATTTTCAAAAAGAATAAAAAATCAAATTTATTTTTATTATTTTTAACAATTTAAAATATCCACACAATTTTATCATTTTTTTAAAAAATTATTTTGTGAGTTCTTTGCTCGACTGAATTCACATTTTGATATAACATATTTAAATCACGTCAAATATATACTAACGGTATTATCTATTGAGCGGCACTTGCTTCGGGTAAATAACAAAAATCAACAAAAGAGTGTAACACATTGGTTATACAATACACGATAATTTATATATTTAATGTTGTTTTGAACGTTTAATAATAACGTCGATGAATCATATAAAAGGTTAAAATGTAAATAATAATTATGTGTGTATTTTACAGACTCAACATATTTAATCTAAAAACAGGGGATATATAATTAACAATATATTGTAAATATATAATAAATATTGTAGTAACAATAATGTATTTAATGAATACTACACTTTTTGGCAATAAACGCTGATTTATATATAAAATTAAAGTATATTAAAAAATTAGATGTGTAAGACTAAAATAATTTATTGATAAGCAGAAAAATACAAATTAATTAACTTTTAAAATAAAATGTTTTCGAATATTCACATAACAAAGTTATCAACACGATTAAATGATTAAATAAATTAATAACACATATATGATATTTTTAATACAATTGTAATTGTTAAATAAAAATTACAGTTGAATAACAACTGTTAATGACATTGTTTTTTCAATTATTAATTATCTTTTTTTTATGTAATTGGTTTGATATTTTGTTGAAAAGAAAAATTTAATAAAAACAATTATCATTTATTTAATTGTGTAACTACTTAAATATCTTCATTTTTCATTCAAAATCTTTTTGTTTATAAATACTACTGAGTGAGATATTATATACAATTATTGTTCTTGATAATCATTTTAATATTTTTCATATTACAAGACTCAATAGTAAACATATTTATTTCGATAACACCACAACACTTACAATAAAGTAAAATGGGGCACCCATCAAATGCCAATTTTCAATAATTTAATTAATATGTTTGGTGTAGAAGGTTCTACTGTTTAAAGCTTCAATTTCATTGTGAATAACAGCCTTAAAACAAAAAGTGGTAACTTTCAAATGTGTAAATATGAAACATCAAACAAAAAGCTTAAATGAAAAATCAAAAGATTATCATAATTTACAATAATTTTTATTCTGATTTGTAACTCACACACGTGCAAATAAGATATTAAAAGTAATTTCCAGGTAGTCTTTAAGTTGACATTAAAAATACACAATTTTATTAAAATTACGTGTCATTTTTTTATTGTTTGAGTTTATCATTGTAATACATAATATGATACGACGACAGGACAAAATAATGTTGGCAATAATAACAATTCAACAAAAGTTCATTTGAATTCAACAATTAATTAAATACACACTTTAAAAAAAACATTTTTAAATCTATTTTAATAAATAATCATTCAATTAATAGAACTCAATTCAATATCAATTTTGTAGTTTTTAGGTCAATTTCCCGATAAAATATAACATTAAAACCATATTAAAATGCATTTGGTAGTTATAAACTTAATTAATACAACAGAAATAAACATCTTGTGTTTAAACAAATTAATAAACCGATTAAAATTTATGCTCGGGAAACAAACTAGCCAGAAAAAACAAAAAATGGCAAATATAGAGAATTGCCTGTTGTAGATAATTATGTATTTAATTGGGATTATGGTGATATTTACAAGTGCAAAAGTAAAGGCTATCCAGTCAAAATACAAATCACCGAACAGGAAAGCATCAACGGGACAGTGTTATTTAAATCTTTTCGTTTCGTCAATACAACTTTAATTCAACATTACCACCAAAAACACATGGCAATTGAAAATACGAAAAGAAAATTTTGTTAAAAACAAACGTTGAAGAAAAAGCAATTTTAATGTTATCAACTAATACGATTGTCGACTTATTACCAGATATGGTCACTGTTAATTCAAGAAAAAGTACTATTACAAGATAAACAAATAGAATAAAGAAAACTGTGATTGATAGAGAGTTGGACAATATATTACATCAAGAAGACAAATATTTGTATAGACAAACCGAAGAATTTGCTAGTCGTTTGAAAATAAAATTGTTGAAAATAGAAAAATATACTGTTTGTGCATGGACGGAACGGTTGCTTCTTATCCAGAAGAGTTTAGTCAAATATACACAATACACTGTTTACTCTCAAATGGTCAGTGTTTTCCTTTGTACTATTGTTTAACAAAACGAAGAAGAATGGAAGACTATCTCAACTTGTTTGCCGTATTACAAGAAACACACCATAGTATTTTTGGCAAGTTGTTGTTTACAAATGAGACATCAACATTGAGTGACTTTGAAAATGCGGTTTTAAATGTATTAGAGTCGTTTAATTGTGATGTCCATTGTTGCATGTTTCACTTTTGCCAATGTGTTTGGCGCAAAATTGTAAATTTTGGGCTTGCACCGTTTTATATCGAAGGAACCAATGAGAAGTTGGTAATGAAATGGTTGATGATAATACCATTTTTAAAGAAAATGATATCAGACCACTTTTTGCAAAATTTAAAAGTGTTATTTATAATAACATTTTTAAATTTCAAGAAAATGTTTTTGTGTTGTTAATAAAACTCTATGAGTACTTTGAACGAGTGTGGATTAATGGAAATTTCCCAATATGTTATTGGAGTCAATATAATAGAGATGTAAGAACGGATAATAGAAGCGAATCATTCCACTCTTCTTTAATAAAGAAGTTGAACACTCCGAAACCTTCACTTGAAAAGTTGTTGTTAGTTCTTGCTAAACATGAAAATTCCGTTATTGTTCAAATTAAACAAATGATAGAAGGAAAAAACATGAAACTAAAAGCATCTTTGTCCAAAAAACAAGCAAATCAGACAATTGACCGAAAGTTTTTACAATGAGAGTCTGACACTGTGTGAGTTCATTAATTCTTTTATTTGCATTGAATTGTTTTTGTTACACAAGAACAACTTCGAGAACGTGGAATTGCACAACGAAGATGAAGCGGGTGCGTGGATTCCAAAGAAAAAAAGACGAATCTATTGATGTAACGAAAAATGATTTGACTTTAGATTTGAACATGTATGGCATTTCTTATGTCGATCACGATGAAACTTATAAAGAATGTAATACAATACCTTTATTGAGTGATGATTGTTCGATGGAAATCGAAACTCCAATACAAATTGGAGAAGAATCGATAATACAACAAAAAATAACACCTCATCTAAAAATACTATTATTGCTGTTAAGAAAACAATTACCAAAAAAGAAAAACGATTCATGATATTCAAATTGAGAGAAAAAGATTGGCCAAAAAACGCAAAGAATTAAAACCAAAGAAATGATAATTTTAATAATAACATTTAATTAGGTTTAGAAAAAATCAAATTGAATTTTTATGATTACAAATAATTAAAATAATTATACAAATTTATTACTAATTATTAATCGTTTTTTGTTTGAAAATGAGTGAAATTTTATAAGTTCGTAATTTATTGCGATTTTTGGTTTAAGCATATTATGTAATTTTTTTAATAAGCAGTGTTTGGTTGATCTGAAAGTAACGTTTTTTCATCCAAATTCCTTTAATAAAATTGTTTTAAGAACATCTTTAACTTAAAATTAGCTGAGTACAGTATTAAAACTTGTTTAAACACAAGATGTTTATTTCTGTTGTATTAATTAAGTTTATAACTACCAAATGCATTTTAATATGGTTTTAATGTTATATTTTATCGGGAAATTGACCTAAAAACTACAAAATTGATATTGAATTGAGTTCTATTAACTGAATGATTATTTATTAAAATAGATTTAAAAATGTTTTTTTAAAGTGTGTATTTAATTAATTGTTGAATTCAAATGAACTTTTGTTGAATTGTTATTATTGCCAACATTATTTTGTCATACATTATTTTTTGCCAACATTATTATGTCTGGACACCATATGATACAACATGTGATACATTTACAACATGCCATTATAATTACAATTAATAAACAACAAAATAAATAAAAAATTAATTGTTAAAGACATTTAACACACTTTAAGTTTTTTATATTCATATCAATATTACCTTGATATTATAATATATTTACAGTAAAAGTGGGTTTGACAATCATCGTTTATATATAATATATATTAATTGATGATTTTAATTTTGTTTTTTTATTGTGTGATTTTTTTTAATTATAAAATGAATAATTCAATTCAAAAAGTTTATTTTTCCCAGTTTAAAAACAATTTAGTTTATTATAACGTTTTAAAAAAAATATTTTTGCCAAATTAAAAAACTTAATTCCAATTAAGGTATGACTTAACCAAATTATACCTAAAACAAATTTATTTGACTGTTATTTTTTGCAAAATATTTAAAAATAATACTAGTTTGATCTCGAAATACTGAAAAGCAAAAATTCAAGACGCCCAAAACAAAAGAATTAAAAAAAATAAAAATACCTGTAGATTCAAACAATGGAAAATAAAACAACTTTTGGTTGAATTTTTTTAATTCACTTTAAAAAAATCGACGTTTCAAATTCGCAATAAAAAGAACGCATTATTAATTTTTAAACAAATCATCAGGTCAATTTTATAGTCGATCCAACACAATTCATCAATCAAAAACTTAAATGTAGCACTTTGGTACAATTTATTTTAAACAACGAATTTGAATTTCAAACACCGTCAGGTAAACACACAAAATGGAGTTGTACTTTTTCCCATCAACTCTAAATTTTTTATTAGTTTAATAATTCATTTTTTAATTTATATAAACTACAAAAAATTAAATTATTTATTTTACAACTAAAATTATTGCTGATTTAGTTTACATTTATAAAAAATGATAAAAGCAATTTAAAATAAATCAGAACAGTTTTGAAGACGATCCACAACTCCATTTATCTGTAACCTTTCTTTTGGATTTTGATCCCAACAACTTTGAATAATTTCGTAACATTCTGTCGGCGTTTCTTGACGTTTTTTTAATCGATTACCACTTATTACAAATTCTGCTATTTTCCATGTATATTTGAACGTGTCAATTGGATAAGCTTCCTTCCATCCAAAGCATTCGAACATAGTTATAGCAAATGAATATATATCAGCACTCTTCTTATATTTCATTTGTTCCAATACTTCAGGCGCCATATACTTTGGAGACCCAATTCCCTTTGTGAAAGTCATGTTAGTCATCAACAAATTTACATTTCTAGCGCTTCCAAAATCAGTCAATTTTGCATTGACTTTTTCGTTTACATCAAGTGAGAATGCAAGAATATTATCTGGCTTAATATCTCTGTGTAATATCCCATTTTCATGTAAATAACTTATTCCCTTTGCTGCATCCAACATAATTTTCAGTCGGAGTTTCATTGTAACTTCTTCACTAATTTTATGATTCATTAAATCTTGTAAAGACCCAAATTCGGCAAATTCTGTGACCATACACATTTTATTTGGTATAAATACAGCACCATAGAAATGGACGATATACTCATTTCTAAATTTGTCAAGCATCGATACCTCATTTTCAAATTCTTTATTTTGATCATCTAAAATAGTCAATTTCATCTTTTTGATGGCTACAAAATTTCCTCTGAAAGTCCCTTTGTAAACTATGCCAAAACCACCTTCACCAAGTTTTTTGTCTTCATTTAATTCTTCATAATCCAACTTGGTTGATATCTGAGTTATAGCAACCAAATTAATTGGAGTTTCTGCAGTGATTCCACTTTTAAAATCAACAGAAAACAATGTGATTTTATCTTCAATTTTACACGAACATTTTGGTTGAATAAATATTTCAAATTCGATTGCTTTGTTCTTTTTTAAAGTAATCACAAGTGGTTCAGTTCGAATGGAATATTTTTCTGTGTCTTCCTTGGACGAAAATTGCACTTTTATTGTGTTCTTTCCAAAATTGCCAACACAAAATAACTCACGCGACTCTCTGTCGACTGGAATTGCTTCCTCGTCGTTTTTTCCTTCAAATTCAATTTCATTTTTGTTCACAAAAACGTTGGCAATTGAAGTTTCGGTGAATCGAATGTTCGACTTTCTGACATCGAAAATACACATATTCTCATATACTTTTTTGGTTTGATAATGATGAGAAATTTTAACAGAGAAAAATAACACGAATGATACAACGATAGTTAAGATGATGAGAACAAATATCACTCCAATCAATATCACCCACCACACTACTTTTGTATGGCAAGACGTGTTTGAGTAATTTGGCGTGTGCCAAAAAGTGCATTTCGTGCATTTAGAGTTTGTCACTTCAACACAATTTTCAATTGAACTTTTCGAGTAACATTTGGAGTCTATCAAGACATAATCTTCTACACATGAAGTGCATATTCCAGTTGTTCCACAAGTGGAACAATTAAAAGTTGTTGAGTTACAGGAGACACAAAACTGATTTTGTTGGTAAAAACCAGTTGAACATTTTAAACATCCACTTTGACTTTTAAATTCGCAATTTACAAGTAAATCATATGAAATACACTGTGTGTTATTTGTGAGTAAAAAATAATTTGTAAAACAACTTAAACATGTTTTTTCAGTGTTGCACTCATTGCAATTTTCAATGCAATTTTTGCACTCACCTTCGGCGTTTCTGAAAAAATGACTCTCACAAAACGCACAAATTGATTTTGATGGTAAAAGCTTTTTGCAATTGGTGATGACTTCCGAATTTGAAAAACACTTTCCATATTTTAAAAAGTGATTTTCAGTGCACGAAAGACACGTTGAAAAATCAAGACAATCCAAACAATTTTCAGAACAATTTTCACAGTGATAATTTGATACAAAATAACCTGTTAAACAATGAATACATCGATCTTGTTCTTTATTCATTCGATCACAATTTTCTTCTTGATTTGTCAATGAAACACACATGGATGTATTATCATAAAAAGTATTGTTTTCACAGAGCAAACATTTTTCATTTTTATTTGAAAACAAACAATTGGAATTTGAAGTGCACACTCCACTATCATTAATAAAATTAGAGACTTGTTTACAGCCATTACAAAAACTGTTTGATGTTTGAATACAACTACTTTGTATTAGTTCAATGCATTTTCCTTCATTATTAATAACTCCATTTAATGTACATTTAAGACAATTGTGTGTATCCCAAAGGGAACACAATTCGCCATATTTGTTTGAACAACTTTGACACGTATTTTCTATATTGTAATAACCATTTTCACATACAATTAAATTGTTGTTGTTTGAAAGAATAACTCTGTTTTGTAAAGTGCAAACTCCATTTTTCAATAAACTTTTTGAATCACATATTTTACAAGAACTTTCATTGTTACAATTAATACAATTTTCACCACAATTTTCACACTTATTTGATTTAATAAAATATCCAATATTGCATTTGATTGTTTTACCTGATATTATTAATAACGAATTATCATCATAAACTAATACCTTTTCGCAGTTTCGATTGACGTCAACAATATACTCTTTATCACATAAAACACATTTTCCTTTGGCACAATGAAGACAATTAGTCGGGCATGGTAAACATTGATATTTATCAACTTCGCTTCCAGTTTCACAAGCTTCACAAACATCTGAAGTTTGTTTTTTGTATAATGTTATACATTTTGAACTTATAACTTCGCAATTTCCACTTGATAAATATGAGTCATTTTTACATAAATGACAACTTCCATCTTTTAAATTGGGATAAAAAAGCAAACATTGGTTTTCTTCATTGAATGACACCATTTTATAAGTATCGGTTGTTTTCCTCATCTCCTTTTTGATAATTTTGTTGTAGTAGTAAACCCAAATTTAGAACCTAAAATCCACTTCTTACTCATTTGTGAGATTTCAATGTTTTCGCCATTTTTTGAAGAGTTGTTAATATAAATTAAGTTTTCATTTTGTTCTTTAAATTTAGAAGTAAAAGTGTATTTTTTAATAAAATCAAGTTGCGTTGTGTTTTGCATAAATACTCCAATAAAATTGATGTTTTGTTCGAGTTTTGTGTTTTGTATTACAATTGTTGAATTAACAGAGGATGGTGGACAGTGTAGGACTTGATTGTCATAACTGTTGTAATCATCAAAGTTTCCACTGATATAAGTACATGTAACGGTTGTATCAACATTGTTAGAGTTTAGATAAGATCGATATAATTTCCCTCCAAGTAATTTATTAAACAAAGGTGTTGAAGATGAATTTTGAACTTCTTGAAATGAAATCAAGTTGATATAATTGTCTTGATAATTGTTAAAATTGACTTTTATATTTATTGTGTCTGATATAAATATACCACCTTTTTGAATTTGAATAAGACCCGTTTTATCCCCATTTGTTGTCATATTATTAAGATTTATTGTGACACCTTCGCCAATTGTTAAAGAATATTTTGAAGTCATTTTAATATACCCATTAGTGTAAAACTCGATTGATGAAGTGATTTTCAGTGGTACATTAAAAGTGGCACATTTGTGCAGTGAAAGTGTTTTGTTGTAACATTTGAAGTGAAAGTGACATTCACATCTTTAACATAATCTCAATTCTGTTCCAAGTTTGTGTAGTTAAATTTTCATTCATTTGTGATGAGAGAATTTGAAGAGTCAAAGTTATTTGTGTAGTGTTGTTAAAGCAGTCCCCTCGATTTATTCCATCATACCCTGAAGGTTCCCATACATTATTTTCAGTGTAATTACAAAGACACATGTTACACACACTTTTTGTCAAATACACTCGTTTCCCACATTTGGATAAAAGTGACGTCTTAACTTCAGTAAAATTTCCATCCAAAGTAAACAATATTTTGTTTGTAAAATTGGGTTCCGATATTAAAATTTGTGTATTAATTATGAGATTCTTTTTGAAGTAAAATTTCCCAATAGAAGTTACTTTCAAAATTGATATATTACAATTTAAATTAAATATAATATCTTCATTTTCTAATATTTCCAGAGTGTCAAAATAAATTGTGTTTACACTTACATCAATTCCATTTAATATGTATTTTCTATTTGTTTTAAAAATGATTGAAAACCATTGAGTAACATTAAGATAAATATTGATATCTTCACTTTCACTTCTACTCTCGCCAATCGCTGTTAAATTCAAATCAAATAATGAACTGTTGTATCTACAATCTGGGAATGTATTTACATTTTCCCATGTAATACTTTCATTCTCTGCATTACAATAACAAGTCTTATTTTTCAAATTTGACGTATTTGTAGTTTCATTTGTATTAAAATATAAAAATCGTTTAAACCCATTTCTATCACACACTTCTTTTGCTAACGGCTCCAAAGAAGACAAATAAAAACCAATACTCTCTTCTTTTGATTTTCCAGTGAATAGATATCTTCCCTTTGTAAATGGATCCCCAACATATTCTGTTGTTCTGAATTGAATATTAACAGTTTGCATCACGTTTCCATCAATAAATAAATAAGCAATTCGTGCTGTTGTTCTGAATATCATTATCCAGAAATACTGATCAATATCAGAAAACAAAGAAATCCCTTGTGTCCTTAAAACTATTGTTGGTCTCCAAGAATCATTTATAGTTGTCCTGCAATATCCTTCGTTATTAAAACAACCAAAAGATACAAACAAATTTTCTGGTCGATTGAGCTCTACCAAATAAATTCTGACATTCATGTTTGCCTCTCTGACAAATAAATATTTTAGTAACACAGAAGGTTTAAATTCAAATTTTCGAACAACATATTCATTAAAGGCAGTTTCTTCAAACGTCATTATTGGGGAGGAACAACACCCACTTTGAAGTGTGAAATTGTAACCTTCTTCATTCGGAACAACATCCCAATTGTTTTTTAAACAACTTTGGGTGGAAGTAAAATAAGTGATCACTCCTGAATCTTCACACCAACCACTTTCACTTTTACAAACACTGAAAATAACAAAAATATAGAGAAATGAATGATTGAACATGTCTGTATTGGTAGATGAAGAATCGTAATTTGAAACGGCAATAATTAATTATTTTTTTCGTGATAGTAAAAACATTTGTTTTTTGGTTTTTATTCGTTGTTATCTATAATTATTAAAATGGTGTAATGGTCTATGATTCAATTACAGTCCCTCAAGCTAGCCTTATGGGAAAAGCTTGCCTTCTGGAAATGTTTTTCATTAATTCTAGTTTATTCGTAATTTTAAAATAACAAAAATATAGTATATTTTGAATGTGTTATTTATAACTTGTTTAATCCATGCGCTTGACTTATGGGATTTTATTTTTGGAATTTACCACTTCATCGTTGTTTTTGACTATTCTACTGGAACTTCATTTCCCAATTCTTCAAGTTCCATCATGGTAAAAGGTCTTCTAATACCATTGTTGTCAAAAAGCGGCATTGATAATATTTCTAGGTCATATTTTGAAACGAATTTGCTGTTCGTTGTTCCAAAATCCAAATAGCTACTAAAATTATGCTGTTGGAAATCAGGTGATAATCTAAGATTAAGCTGTAGTTGTCTTTTTTGTGGCAAATCTAAAGGCAATCCGATATTAAGTTGTGGTGAATTTTGAAGTTGGTTATATATTCGAAAACCGACCTCGAAAGTCGGTTGTAATGTATTGTTGATCTTCGTCCACACGTCTTTTGCGTCGACAACAGTTTGTTCATTGGCTATAATGGCAGTTGTCATGACGACATTTTCGCGTGGTGGCGTCAATTTGTCAATTATGACATCACTCAAAATTGGAATCACCAATTTATGAACCAAAGATGCATGTTTAATATCAAAGTACACTTTTATAGAGTGGTCTTTTATGATAGATACATAACCTGCTCTAGTAAAAGAAGCAATTATATTCTCAGAAGTCGTCTTTTGATATATCGAACTAAGTACTTTAGAAATCTGGCTTGTAACTCTGGCTCCCCATTGTGCTCTTTCCTTTTCTATTGCTTTCGTAGAAATGGGATCCTCAAGAGACTTAATCCATTCAGAAAACAAACAACACAGTTCATCATTTTCTTCGTGGCATTCAGTTCCTGCCGTTTGATTGGTTGTTGGTATTTGTAGTCTTTTAAATGTTGTGAATATGGGAACTTGTGTTGTTGCATTCTTTTTTACAATTCCAAACAAACACAAATCAAGTGGTTGAGTGAGATGACTACTATGTGGAACTAAAAAATGTATGTTGACGTGGTTACATTTAAATATTTCAATCAAATCACTATCAAAATGAGCTTTAAAATTATCCATGATTATCACCGCCCATGTTGTTTCGTTGAGTTTCAACTTTTTCCGTTTTTCAACGATATACTTCAACACGCTGTCATACATCCAACTACAAAATATAAACCTGTTAACAAATCCCGTGTTGGTAAAATAAATCTTGACTTTGGGGTAATTTAAACAAATGTCTTCTCCAATGTACTTGTTTGGAATTACTATTGCAGGAGAACAGAATTTACCCGAAGCGGATATACACGCTATAACAGTACTTCGTTTTGATGAACGTGAAATTCCAACATTCGTTGTTGTCGTTTTATCATCAACAAAAACTCATACTTTTCGAGAGTCAGTTCATTCATTAAATCCTATTTCATCGATATTATAAAACAACGCAGGATGTGTTCCATTCCATTCTGAAATTTTAATGTAATTATCCAACAAGTCTTTTGGGTTGTATTCCAACCTTTTTAACTCTTCTGGTCTAGCCATAGTGGTTGTTTTGTGGTGAAATTGTTTAACATGATTCACTATTCCATTTAAAGAGACGTCGAAATAAGGATTGAATTGTTGGCATATTAAATCAACAACATGTGGTGTAGCAACAATTGATTTTGCATTACAACATTTAAACATCTGACTGATTGCTGCATCCATTTCAAAGGTAAAATGACTTGGTCTTCTTGGTTGTACCTGTTTTTGGATTAAATGATTATGAATTGCACCATCAGTCAATCCGAACAATATGCCAATTGTTGCTTCTGAAGCTTTAAATTTATTTCTTATCATTTTTATTTGATCAACTTTTGTTTGACACACAAAATAATCAGGACTTAATTTTAATAAAAGATCTTTTGCTTTGTTTATAACTTTTAAAAAAGCCAGACGTCTATTTTCACTTGAAATGATACATTTTTTGATTTCATCTAAACTTAATGCTTTTACTCGCGTTGTTTTTGTTTTTTGAAGCTCGAAATCAATATCTCAAGTTTGGTTGTGGATTTTTTGTATAACAGCTTCTGTGAACGTTTTATAGTCATGATCAAAATCCATTTGTTTGATTTATTCGAGATCTATTTTTATTAAATCTTAAAATATCACTGATTTTCAAAACATTGTTCTCAACAATATACTATGATTTGTTAATTTGTTATAATAAATAAAACTATATTACAAAAACAATCCCATAAGGCTAGCTTTTTCCATATAGCTAGCTGTGGTTACTGTATATCGAATCCGTTTTTTAATTTTAGAATGTTTTTGGCGTTTTAAATTATTAATTTATATTTTAAAAAAATTTTGATTGATAATTCTCAAAAAATTATAAACTGTTAATTTACCAAATTAATTAAATAAGATTTTGTTGTTATTGGTTAATATTAAGTTGTTCAAAGTATTTACAGACTCGTTTATTGTTTTATGGCATTGTCTGTCTATTAATTTTGTCCATTTGACAAAAATTTACACAAAATGTGTTTGACAAAATAAAAATTAAATAAACAATGATAACTTAGTAAAAAAATATTAAAAGTTTGGTTCGAAGTGTTTTGAACGGTATTCTGAACTATTCGAGTTTATATGTCCTAAATTGCTCTGGCAATGTTAAAAAGTGGATAAAGTTGTTAACTCGCCGACTTACCTAATTCCCAACAGACCAATACTGTTAAAAAGAGCAGTGTTTTTATTTTTTAGATAAAAAATATATTAAACAGTGTATTTTAATTGTAGTAAAATGAAAAAGAATAACGAGTTCAAATCGTAAACTAAAAAACAAATAAATTGTGAAAAAAATGAAAAAAATATAAAAATTTAAAGCAATAATGTAATACAGTAAAACCTCCCAAGAGTGGTACCTCCCAAGAGCGGGCATTTTTTAGACTGAAACTAAAAATAGAGTTCTCTATCAAGCGATTTTTAAGGTTTGATTGGCTAAAAATGCCCGCTTTTGAGAGAACAAAATACC